TCATAATGCATGATCAAAACCGAAAGTTTCTGTGATGAATGCCCTTGTACTGTTCACCATGTAAGAATTTATTCACTTTGTAAGAATTCGTTCACCATCTAAGAACTTGTTTGTTATGCTTCAGAAGATTGGAGACTGACGAGAATTAGGCTTGAGATGGATTAATGATTGTGCATTGAGCATTGACCCCCCTATACAGAATTTTATTGTTGTTAACAACCATTTGATCAATAAATATGAGAGATACCCTCTCAAAAAAAAAAAGCACAAGAGGTTGTTCATGCTGACTGTGCCTGGCATGGGAACAGTTAGCCTGCATAGTGCAACAGGGCACAGCTGTCATACCTTCAAATGGGATTGGTACTGTCCCTCGGGAAGTGGTGTTCTGTTTGTGACAGGGACTCTGTCTTGAAGGCAAAGGACACTGGTCTTAATAAGTCTTTTGTCCACTTCCTCCAGGCTCAGGAAGGGCAGAGAAATGGAAAAAGACAACTGTAAGCAAGTATTTTTTCAAATTGCACTTGTATGATGTCTTGCAATCCTTTCCTAGAAACAGCATGTAAAACATAGTCTTTTGATGGTGATGGGGGGCGTCTAGTAAACATAATGTTCCTCATGTAATTGTAGATTAATGAAACCAAAATTTAAAAAAAAAAGTAGTCTTTTGAGTCTTTGACTATCTAGAACAGTTTATCCAGGACATGCATAGTTGATAATAAGCTTAGTTTCAGGAGAAATGTAAAGAAAATTAAGCTTATTAACTCATTCAGGCAACTGGTATATCCCTTCCTGCCTTGCCTTGTGACTTTAAATATAAACACTATTAAATTACTAATGAATGCTCTAATTGCATAAGCTATAAGCTCTTATGCATATGCTTATTAAACAATGAGTGGTGATTTTGCCCTATTAAGTACACAATTTACTACAGAAAAGCTAAATTAGGGAGCAGAGAGGACTCAAAACAGAGTAACTGTTGACTAGACAAAATAAAACATGAATTATAGGGAAAATTTAGTATGCCCAAGTTAGTGAAAGTTAACATAGGGAATGCCCTCATTTCATTCTGTAAAACCCCCTGAGACAGACATCCCTGAACATAGAGCAATAAGATTATGTTTAACTGAAATGATATTTCTGAATAATAGCATGTTCTATTGACAACATTTGTAAATTTGAAAATTAAATCAATTTGAGAAGGGAAACAGTATCAGACCACATAAGAATTTTACTTTACAGACAGAAACTTAAATACTAACATTTGAACATCTCTTAGAAAAATTACTCTTCTCTTGTGTTTGCATAAAGAAACATTATTAAGAAAACCAATTTACTCAGCATCAGATCAGTATATTCTAGGGTTCCTTCCATATAATCCAAAAATATCACCCAACAGATGTCATTTACCCTCCAGAGTTTGCTACAGTTCAGGGGCTTAAAAACTCAACAATTGGAATGGCATTTTTCAATGAATTAGAGGAAACAACCTAAAATTTATATGGAACTTCAAAGGACCCCAAATAGCCAAAGCAACCTTGAGAAAGAATCTCAAGGGATATCACACACCTTGATTATAAGCCATACTACAAAGCTATAGTGATTAAAACAGCATGGTACTGCATAAGAACAGGCTCTAGATCAATGGAACAGACTAGAGGGCCCAGAAACAAAGCCATGCATATATGGTCAATTAATATATGACAAAGGAGGCAAGAATGTACAATGGGGAAAAGAGAGTATTTTCAATAAACGGTGTTGGTAAAACTGGACAGAACATGCAAGAGAATGAAACTGGATTATATCTAACTTCATACACAAAAGCAAAGTTGAAATGGATTAAAGACCTAAATATAAGACATAAAACCATAAACTCTTAGAAGAAAACATAGGCAAGAATCTCCTGAACAGCAACGTGATTTTTTTCTGGCTACATCTCCCCAGTAAAGGGAAACAAAACAAAAACAAACATAAAATAAAAATAAAGTAGGACTACATCAAACTAAAAAGCTTCCATACAGCAAAGGAAACCATCAACAAAATGGAAGGGCAACCTATCATACAGGAGAATATATTCTCAAATGAAATATCTGATAAGGGGCTAATATCCAAAATAAATACACAAATAACTCTTATGCCTCAACACCAAAAAAATAAGACCCAAATTACCTGATTATGAAGTGGACAGGGGAACTGAACATTTTTCCAAAGAAGACATACAGATGGCCAATAGGTAAGTGAAAAGATGCTCCACGTCACTAATCATCAAGGAAATGCAAATAAAACCACATTGAGATATCACCTCACACCATTCAGAAAGGCCACTATCCAAAAGGCAAGAAATAACAAGTGTTGACAAGGATGTGGAGAAATGGGAGACCTCCTACACTGTTGATGGGAATGTAAATTACCTCAGCAACTATAGTAAGTAGATGGAGGTTTCTAAAGAAACTAAAAATAGAAATACCATACAACCCAGTAATTCTACTTCTAGAAATTTATCCAAAGAAAACAAAATCTCTTATTCAAAAAGATATATACATTCCCAAGTTTATTGCTACATAATTTACAATAGCCAAGATATGGAAGCTACCAAAGTATGCATCAATAAATGAATGGAAAAAGAGGAAGTGGTATATATACACAATGGAATTATTACTCAGCCATTAAAAAAGAAGGAAATCCTGCCATTTGCAACAACATGGATAGACCTAGAGGGTATGATGCTAAGTGAAATAAACCAGGCAGAGAAAAACAAATACATACGATTTCACTTACATGTAGAACCTAAAAATGAAACAAAACAAAATAGACAAAATAGGCTTATAGACACTGAGAAGTGATTTGTGGTTACCACAGGAGAGGGGCTGGGGTGGTTAGATCAAATAGATGAAGGGGATTAAAAAACAACAACAACTCAACAATTTGATTTAATCAGCACACCAAACACAGATTCATTTCTTATATGCTGACTCACAAAAACCAAGCTCCTGAGACTAATGTTTAAAATTGGAATCCTAGATATGTGTATAACCATGTTCATACCTGCATTATTCTCAATAGCCAGAAAGTGGAAGCAATCCAAGTGTCCACCAACATATGAATACGCCAATATAATATATGCATACAAAACAATATCATTCTGTTTAAAAAGGAAGGAATTGCCAAGAAATATCTTTTTTTTAAAGGATCACACATCATAATAGATGACAGATTTCCTATTCTTCATCTAGCATAGTGAAAACAAATCAGTAAAATGGTGATAAAATAGGTATAAGTCAACAGGGATATTAAGAGACTATACTACTTAAACCTACAGTGACACTCAAAATGCTTAACTACTACATCATTGCAAAATATTTAAGTTTCAGTCCTAAATTTAGCAAGATGATACAGTATTCTTTCATTGGATTTCAAAGATACTTGAGAATATTCTGAAGACATGTATTTTATGTAAACCCATTCTTATCACATCCATCAATAAGTGCCATGAATTTCTTAATTATTTAGGGATGCAATTAGAACAATTTATATTTTCTTAACCCCCCTTTTTTCTCCCTTGCTATCCAGAAGGGGGCACAGAGAACAAGAGATAGAATGCAAATCTGTCAATTTGGTTGTCTTCTTTTTCATCCATAAAAGTTTCCATTGGGTAATAAGTTGAAAATTGCTTGTAACTGACAATGTACTTTCATAAATACTTCTAAAAATTATCTTTGTTGTCTCTGATTCTATTAACAAGAATTATTAGTGAACCAAAATTTTAAGAAGTAACAATCAAACTCTTACGAATTTTGTAAAGGTTGAAGAAAAAAGTTCTTTGGAGAAGAAAGTTTCTTCTCTCCTGTTAAAAACAAAAGTAAAACAATAAGCCAAGGAAACTGCAGCAATGAATTTATTGGAAATTAACTAGACATTACATTAACCTGATAAAGATGTCACAATGCATGAAGCATAACTGGTACAACATTTAAAAACAAAAGAAAAAGAATTTTCACTTTCAAAAGAAGTAACATATCCAAGACACTTTTAATCTCTGAACATAATAATACAACTCATAATGTTGATTCTCAACACCCAGAATAAAATTGACTTTCAACTGAACAACTGAGAGGAAAAGTTTCTTTTCCCAACTTGAAGATTCCTTGGCTACCATCTGCGTATCGCACACATAAGGTAATTTCATTATAAGACAGTAACCAGATGATATTTGTTACATTCCTTATAGGAAAATACCTCTCATACAAATAGAGAAATTTGGGCTAAGTCCAAGCAACAAATCAGTTGGCAGCTCCAACTGATGGGGTACCTAGAATCAGCATCTTCTAGAATCTAGAAATTACATTAATTGTACTTATAAGATTTTCTTTTCTTTGAAGAAACTGCCTGGATTGGAGGGCACGCTGATTTGCAAGGAAAGAGTCATTGCATTTACACTGAGAAACAGTGTAGGGGCAGTGGCGGAGGTGGGGGTGGGGGGTCTCAGGTACTCATCATCTGCTCATCACAGTTTTCTGAAATAGTCCTCTACCATATAATACATTGTAGCTTGTGGATAACAAACTCCCTTTGAAGAAAATTATCCCAGATAATCCATCTATAATAATATATGTGCTACCCAACACAGTGATGGTGAGCAGTTTGGAAAGGCAAAAATGCTGCATCAACTTTCAGAGGCACTATGGTAGCATCATCTCTGAAATGGAGAATTGCATGTGTACTTTGAGAATTACTTCCCTTCCAAATGCCCAGCATGCATGAATTTCCTCTCATGAGTTCTCCATAGGCTGAGAAGTCAGGAATCCAAATGCAGAACTGCAGGTTTTTGAAGGGCTTGGTGCCACCATCCCCTTCTTTTCTGATGGATTTCAACCGTTTATTGAAAACATTTCACAGTTCTCATACATTTTCACATAGAAGGTGAAGATGATTGAGAAATTACTAGATACTGTTGATTGGCAAAAAAAAAAAGCATCTCAACAGTTTATTATCTTTGGAAAACCAGTCATAAATGCATTTCCTTATCCTTCATTGAGGGCACAGAGTATTAAATTAAGAGCTCCCACATTTTGGTGGGAAAATGGAAAATTCTTGTCACTGACACTGGCACCAAGTAAAGGGGGGGGTCCGTTCCACAATTGTAGGAGGAATTTAAATAAAACTGTAGAAGGCTGACCCAGACAATTTAGGTCCTAAATTAAATTTCTGAGGCCTGATATTTTTAGTTTGAGTAACAATGCTGGTCTAATTTGCTAGAAAATTAGCAACATTCTCTGTCACCTTTAGCTGGGTGGGCAGACAGCCTGATGTCTTGCTTACTCTTTACCCACATCTAAAGTTAATACCTAAGCAGACTCAAAATGCATGTAGATGCAACATGCTAGTTGGCACAAAGCAGGCAGGGGAAGAAAACCCTCACCTTCCTGAAAATCCCACTGGAGAGTGACTGGCAATAATTTTCGTCATATATACAATGTCAGTAGATTTTAAGACAGATACACATAAAGGTACACAGATGTTTCCACCTTCCACCATTGAGTGAAACATGCTGTTCTTTGGAGAAAAAAATACATTCATTTTATTCAAGTATATTTCAACAAAGATGCTCTAGCTTTGTTTCACTACAAATGAATCACATGTGTCCAAGGGGAATTTCATTTTAACTTCCCTTTGGTGTGGATTTCATGAAGTTTTGATTGTAAAAATTGATCTAACTATACCTACTGCTTTTATCTGAAAGCATGAACTCCTTATGTCCATTTTTTATATATGTACACTGTCAACAACAACCGAAACAGTCTACATACGAACAATGGCCCAGGACTGGCCGCCTCCGTGAGAGCGAGGGCTGCTGGCGCCCACGGGCTCAGCACACACTCGGCGCCTCCGTCGCTCCCGCGTCCGGAGCTGCGCGGACAGCGCGCGGGCTCTTCCCTTCCGTGGCATCCCGGGAGCATGGTCTGCAGAGAGGCACTTCTCCGACTAAGGCTTGCTTCCTGCCTTGGTTTTGTTGTTGGGGTTGCAGTTTAGGTCTCTCAGCAGCACGTCACAGTCGCTGNGGGGGGGACCAAAATCGGCCAGATCAAAAATCTGAAGATGGGTTCTTCATTATAGCAGCAGCCAGACCTGACCTCTACTAACCAAGCATATCATATGACTTACTAAAACAGCATGTGAAGCAAGCATTCTGGAACTCTCCACAAAATGGAGATGTTTAGATTTCTCAAAAATATAACTATGGTACTAACGAAATACATCTCATTTCACTGAATACACCAAAAATGCAACATTTAATCAAAATCCCAGAGTGGTGGAGGTTCCCCTGGAGTGAGTGGGCTCTGGCATGGCTAAAGGAGAACAGGAGATTCCTGACACTATCCAAAGGTGATGTGATACAAGAGGATTTTTGCCCTCTGACTGCAAATACAGGGTCTTTAACACACACTTAGGATCCTACCAGTTTTTATGGGTGTCAGGGGTTCTCAAGTTCTGTGCAAACTCGACATGATGACATAATTTGGGAACCCCTGACATGACGACATTGGACTGTCCATGAAAAAGTTTGTAATTGTTAATAAAAATCATTACAATATAAAACATGCACAAACCCACCTTCCCCAACAAGGAAGTACTCTATTAATCACCAATGAAACATTCAAGTGCTAAGGTACAATACCCAACCTGTTTATTTTTCTTCTTGAAAATAAACAGTATTGCTCCCTTTCAACTAAGAAAAGGCATACAATTTTCTGTTAAGTGAGAGCTAATGTAAAATGAAGTGAAGAAACTAAGTGCTCCTAATTCTTGGGGAACAATGACTCTAGAGGTGCCTCATTTCTGTGCAGTTTCTCTCCAAGCCATTCTTGTCAGGGGACCCGCCACACAGAAGCAGAGTATTAGTGTTCTCCGGTCTGGGGACAGGGACAGTGTGGGGAAGTGGGGGGTGGGGTGGGGGAGGGGGCAGAAACCAAGGAGCCATTAGGCACTTAAGCTCTAACTCCGAATTCATCTCCCCTGGCCCAAGAAGGTCACCTTCGAACCTCCCCACCTCTAAGCACTCATAAGCCCAGGGCCTGGATACACAGCACACATCATACAAGTTGCAGCTGAAGAGCATTAGCTTATAATAAATTGCTTACTGCATTTACAAGTGTGCATTTATAAATAAATATACAGTATTTTATATTCCCAAGTATTTAACCTCCCTATGACAGGGACTGTGTGTTACATGTTTTCATTCACTTTTCTCATAAGTGGCTCCTTTCCAGTTCAGTGAGTTTTACTCTAGACAAATCTCATCATCACCAATCAGATTTCTTTCTGCAAATGATTTTGAGCCAGCCTCTCTACTCCTCTCCCATTCTAAGCTGTCCTCATCAAGGTTTCTAGACTGATCTCTCAAGTACAGCTCAAAAACTTTTGAGAGAACTCCCTCTCAACAGGTTTAAAGCCACACTTTTCTGCCTGACACAGAAAGTTATCTACAATTCTGCCTGCACTGTATTTGTCCCACTTCTCCCCAACCGAAATCTTTACTGATGACAAGCTGACTCTGCTGCTCAGCCACATCCTCCTTATTTATACCAAACCCCACCCCACTCTCCTCATTCATTTCTTCCCCCAACTCTTCAGAGTCCAGCTCAGGCCCCAAGTTCCCCAGAGCTTCCCCATTTCCCATATTTAACCCCTCCTCCCTGAAACTTAACCAAATATGTGCAATACCCAATAGGTATTTAAGCAGATTCTGCTGTGAATTGCCGTTTAACTATTTTATTACTGTACATTTTCTCTCCCAAGTGATATACTGAAATCGATATGTGGATCTGTAGCCCCCAGAGCACATGGACACAGTCCAGTCTACGGGCCCATCTTCAGCAGTGGTTCAATCCATGTCACATTTCTGTCATTCCCAGTATAGTTCAGTGCTGAAGTCATTTAAGGACTGTATCATTGCCTTTTACCTGTAATTTTTCTAGGAGATCCATGTTTTGTCTTTTCAGTTGGCTATTGGCCCTCTCCAGCTTCTCCAGAGGTTCACTATCCTCACAGGCATATGAAGATTCCTGAAGCTCATCCTGAAGCACGTGATATTCGACCTCATAGGCATGCAACTGTTTAGAAATATCCATCTCAAAAACCTGCCACAAAAACACCATTGGTTAGTCTGGCCTTCAATACACACAGCAAGACACAGTCTGTGCATCAGGTACACTTCATATAGATTTCCACATACATTAATGAAGACTAATAGCATATTAATAGGAAGAATAATATGTGTGATTGTCAATATAAGAACAAATAGAGTATTTCTACACAACTGAACGGTTCTTATAATGAGGCCAAGACACTAGAGTAAGTTCACGTTCAAGGGTATTTTGCAAAAAAATATATACGTAGTCTGGTAACTATCTCCGAAAATGTAGTACACCACATAAAAGTTAATTATAGAGTAATTCTTATCTGTGTTAGAGATAATCTTTGCTGATTATTAAGCACAATTGCACAGGATATTTTCATAATAATGAGATCAAAACATTTCTAAGTATTTGTCAATTGGTCAGAAAAGTCTTTATGTAAATATAATCACCCATCTGCTATTCTATGTGAGCCTCTTAGGAGATATGTACATATTCTACCACACAGCAAATCTTAAACTCGCATACCCTGAGCACTGTACAGAACTGTAGGGTTTAATTGGGTCTGCCTCTGCTCTCCCATATTGCCACCAAATAGTGGACAGTTTGCTTAGAGATTAGAGACAGCTGACCTCTCCTCAGTCTCAACTTGCAAGGGACAGAGAGGCAGCAGCTGCCATATAAGCAGTGGTGTCTATACTAATCTGTGGGAGAAAAGAAACCACGGAAAAAGCTGATGTACTTACTTACCCTCCTACCATTCAAGATACTCAAATCTTAGAATTTAAATGAGATTCCCAGACGACCTGGTCATCCCTTTCAAACAAGCATTGTGGAGGATACAATAGACTATTACACCATTAAAAATGATGGTATGGATCTATATTTATTGGCATGGAAAAATACTCTACATTTTAATATAAAATATTTTATATAAAAAAAAACAAAACAGCATGCACAGTATGATTTCACTTACATGAAACTGTTACATATGTGTATATAAGCAAAGAGAGATGTGTAAAAATAAGTTTCAAAGGTTTTAAATCTCAAGGTGTTGAGATTTGTAGTTACTTTTATTTTCTTTGTGCTTTTCTGCATTATTGGCATTTATCAGTGACCATAAATAATGTTCATCAGGCCTCCTTTAATATCAGCAGTTCATTCCACAGTTCATCAACTTTAATTGTTAAAAAAGTCTCTCTCATACCAAATTTAAATCTGCCTGACTATAAATTCTATCCATTAATCCTAGCAAATACCTCTAAACCAGGTAATCCCCATGTTAATTTCAAAAGAGCCAGGGACTATCTAGTGTGCTGATTACTTTCCATTTCCCTAGATCCATTCTTGGCCCTCATCCATTCTGATCTATCCTGGGAGACAGACCCTTGTGACCTGCATTCCCCACAATTCCTTTTCTGCTGGCTTCTGGTTGGGTATGGCCAGTGGGAGGGGTCTGTAGGAGATAGGAAGGGGCAGGAGAAAGAGGTTGATATTTCTGGCTCATCAAGAGCACAAAAACCTCCGGAAAAACCATCCTCCATAGCTCTTGCATTCATGGGGCCCAGTAACACTATTACATCCTCATCTTCTCCCTCAGCACCACGGGTATGAACAGCTTCTCTCCGTTACCAGTTCCTGGGCACCTGGACATCCTTGCTTGGTTTCCTTAACCCTGCCCAGCCTCTGTAAACAGCACCATCATTTGAATCACTGAAGGTAGACTCTTTCCTACAAAGGACCCTGACTGATGCAAGTCTCTTCATTTAAGCCTCACAAATCGTCTTGGGTCAGTATTGTCCCATTTGGGGGGTTATAATACTAGGGTTCAGAAGATTAGGGTGATGTACACAAGCCAAACAACTAGTAAAAAAGCTAGATGATGCAAACCCAATATTAAGTCCAAAGGCTACACTCTGGCCACATGTATTCCTGATATATTTTAAAACAGAATTAACAATATCACAAAGGTCTCACTTTGTTTCTTATATCCCCTAACTCTGTCAGTTCCATCTTCAGTCTTATCACTGATTTAAATTCAGATTGCTGAAACTCATGATGCAGCACTGAACCACTTTTCCTGTGCATAGCCACACAATGTCACAATGTACAAATTTCACAAGTCTCATTTTCTAAATAACATATCAGATAAAATTTTTAAAAGATACCTACCAAGCAAAACTACATCTTTATGCTAAAGCATTTAATACATGATTATTTGAGAAACTGCTATATAATCCTGTATCTTATTATTCAAATCGTACCTGTGTGATAATTTTTTCCATTTCAGATGTATTCATATCAGGTAGTGTGCTTTTAAGAAATTCAACAATATTTTCAAAGCTTTCACATTCCATTATAAGTGTCTCTTGGCTGTTCAGTAGGCTGAGTGCAACCTTAAATATAACTTCAGTCCCCTGAAGAAAAATAATATCTAAAAAAAGAAAGAATTTTCATGACCACAGGAATAATTTGTAAGAGAAAACTGGTCAAAAATTATTTCCCTCATTTGTGGAGTATAACAACAAAGCAAAAGTGAAGAAACAAAACAACAGCAGACTCTCAGAATCCAAGAAGGGACTAGCAGTTACCAAAGGGAGGGGTTGGCGATAATGAGTGGGGAGGGAGGGAGAAGGGGATTATGGGGCATTATAATTTGCAATCACAATATAGGTAGGTCACAGGGAAGGCAGTGCAGCACAGAAAAGACAATGACTGTAGCATCTTACTATGCTGATAGACTGACTGCAATGGGGGGGGTTGAGGACTTGATAATATGGGTGAATAGTGAAACCACAATGTTGTTTATATGAAACCTTCATAAGATCATATATCAATGATATTTTAATTAAAAAAAAGAAAGAAAACTGGTCAAAATCACCTAAATTCAAAAAAATAATAATATAATAATATGACTAAATATTTAATATTAACATTAAACATGTTTAAATAGGCTTAACTTATTTAGGAATCTCAGATAAAGCCATAGTAAAAAAGAAAAGATAAATTACCTGTTTGTCTAGTACTTAAAATTATTAGCAGAAAATTTAACAGAGGAAGTAAACCTCAAAGACACTTATTCAATAGATATTGAGATTTTTCTTCACAAGGGAATACAAAAACAAATCAACATAACAAATCAGTACTATTTAAATATTCATTACAATAGAAAGGTAAATGAACCAGTTGATGCATAATTAAACCTATACCAGCAAGAAATTTTAAAAGCCTTGAGAAATCAAAACCAATATATAACCTAAATCAAAAGTGAAAGAGAAAAGGCAGTACCACCCTAACTCTGAACTCTTAGCAAGTACAACTTCCTAACAAGTACAAACATGCAATAGTTTTAAAAATTCCAAATACTTTTGTACGAAGTTTCTCTCGACCTATGCCACCCTGTAATCAACAAGCAACAGGGAGTCTTTAAGAAAGAAGGAGCTGTGAAGTAATTACTTAAAACATGGACATTCTTGCTTATGCATCTTTCCCTTTCCTGACAGTCTCTATTTTTTTCCTCAACACCAAGATAAGGATCAAGCAGCTATTGTAGAGCTTGACAGCATCTCTCACATGCTCATAGCAAAATACAGACCACAGGGTGATTTGCTTCTTGAACTAATTTCACGCTTCCAAGGGTAAATCAAAGAGAGATGCCCTGAAACATCATTTTGATTTGATAAACTATTCTCTGAGAAGATAGATATTTATATAGAATAATAAATATAAATATGTATTTATAAACTATATATATATATATATCAAAAAAGAAAAAGAAAATATATATATATATATAAATAAAGGATTAATAGGAGACCCATTAATAGGGACCCAAGCTTCAACAAAAATTTCACTGGAGAAAAGCAATTCTGTCTATTCAGTAAAGAAGAAAACTCTGGTGAACACTTGATTTCATGCATCTTGATTTTACGCTTCTGCTGCACTTTGTCTACAGATTGCGCCACTGCTAATATTTATATCATTGTGTTACTGCAGTGTTTAATCTTTTAAAACACAGCCCCCAATACTAAAGACACCATGCACTGTCTTTAACATATACACATATTAAACATACATCTTCAAAACAGAAGTTTCTCTGAATATTTTTCCTTACTATTTGCAATCCTTCCTTATCTATTTTCACTATATTCTATTCTAATTATTTTTTTTAAAGCAGGTAATGACCTACAATTAGGTCAATACTCACAATTTGACAAAAAGTTCCTGTGTAGCAAAAGCATACTGACCACTATAAATACTGACTGCTTTCACCATGGATACCAGATACATGAGCAGAACATAAAACCATGGGAGCCCTTTCTGAGGTCATCGAGGTCCTAAACACTAGAACAAACCTCCAGGAAAGAGCTGTTTCTGATAAAACGTTTGCTTTTTAACTAATGGACTTAGCCAAGCCTAACCGGAGACTTGGAATAGACTGAAGGGTCCCCAAAGGGAGCATAAACCATGGCATACTCTGTTTTCATTCCTGGTGCAGACACTGTAGCGGAGCAAGACAGAAACGTAGTAACCTGCCCCAGGCCCTGCTGCCCGTGCTCAGTGCTGTCCCTGAGCCACCCAGTCATAGAGACTAGGGCCACCACTGCGCTGGCCTGAAGGGAGGGTCACTTGAGCAATGAAACAGGAATTTCAGTCACTTTGTTAAAAACAAAAAATCAAATTAAGAAGTGCCATTAGAATAACATGGATAGAGGTACTTCCACTGACTCAGTGAGAGAATATGTTTCTCTGTGTTTTAAATCCTGGTCGAAGAGGACAAGAGGAAAGGAAGAAAAAAAAAAAGGAGGGAGGAAAGATGTGTATAAAAATCTAGAAAATTACACAAAGTACTGAGTTCAGATTTTTAAAAAGTGTACTCTGATTTTTAGGTATAAATGTAAATAAGACCTACAGTACCAGTTACTCAAATACAGGAGCCCAATTCTTTTTTCTTTCCCTTTTCATTTTAATTTTATTTAAGATTTCAAATCGCTCTCAGAATAGAGCTGGGCACATTTATTAAATCCCATTATCAATGCGCTGGTCTGTGTAACATATGCTAAAATAATTGGGGCACCATATGGTTAGAAGTATATTCCTTGGAGTAAATAACACTGTCCCATTTGATTATAGGCATCTCTTACCAAAAACTCTGGCTACAAAGCCGAGTGGAAACTGAGAGGCAAACAATGTGAGAAACCAGGGGGCAGCATAAAGACTGGGGCTGATTTCATTCTCTTCAAGGTGACTGTAGAGGTCTCTGTGGTAGTCATGGAGGAGCCTGGACAGCTGGTACATCTGAATCTGAAGTTAATTTGGAGAAGAAAAATAAAATATGCATTTAGCTGAGTTCATAAAAATATGTTAACTTTAATTTTATTGCTCTTTTATAACACATTCACATATATTCAATTAATAAAGGCAGTATTACTTTATTTTTATTTTTATGTTAAAGGTGATATTAATGTCCAGCTTCACTTAACTCAAGTCATCAAGCCAGTCACAGGAAGTCCATCTAAGACTATTAGGTAGGTTTCTCTATTATGTGTGTTCTGGTGTTACGTATATACATACATATGGAGGGCACTGCTTTTAATCAGAACTGTCCTGGCTCAGGACTCTCATACAAGATCCATTCTCATTTCAGACCAATTCCAGAAAAGTCCCCATTCTCAAGAATCTACCATACTCAGTTCAGAAGCAAAGTTCATCTCTGTTTGCTGGACCCCCACACCTGATTTAGAATGGAGCTCTGGGTTGGACCCTGCCAGACGATCTGCACGCCAGGACACTGCAGGGCTTGGAATGGGATGGAGCTAGAGCTTGAGATATGATTTCTAGTATCCAAGCAACACGTTCTAATATTCCAGCAACATATTTTTCATGACAAAGGGGATTAAAGCACTTTGAATGATTAAGTGCACTCTGAATGTTTTCAGTATTAAAAGATTATTTCATTTAGCTACTGAGGTGATTATTCAGAGTTTAAAAAATTATCAAGATAGCGTATGGCAACTTTTAAACTCTTAGGTCTGTGGTAGCTAAAGTGTATTAAATAATAAGCAAATCTTTGAATTGTGCTTTAATTTGTTATTCACACAGTACAGAACTGAGTAGAGGTTCCTCAATCAGTTTTAACAGCTTGGCATTTTGATGTGAAATGTATACAGTACATATACATTTACTGAATAGAACTTTTCTCACTAGACAATATCATTGAAATATTACCCTTAAATAGTTACCTCTACAAAATTACATTAAAATAACCATTTATATTGTGAATTCAACAACTGTGGTTTCCAGAGCACAAAACTGAAAATCAAATACTATATATAAATACAGCAAATTATTTGTTTGACTTTCATCCAAAACATGTGTCTGTGGAAACTAGGTTTCCACACAAACTGTAAAAGGAAAAAATTACAGAGCCACAGGAAGTCATAGCTATAAAACAAGGAGCTTAGCTGCAGTCAAACATAAAGGTTTAAGAAAATGAGATTATCATCTCACTAATTTTCTCATGTTGAAAAATACCAGATATTTCCCTTAACGCTACTTAGAATTTAAAAACTAGACATACTGGGCTCTATCAATACAAGAATTAGCATTTTGGTAGCACAAAAATCAAAGTCTAAGTAACAGTAAAAAAAATCATACCATCAAAAGCATCCTGTTCTTGTTCAGCTATGTAGCACAGAAATAGTACTTCAATGTTGAATTTTTAAAACACACTTTACATTTTTTTTCTACATTCTAAACTAAGGGTTGAGCACATTTCTTCCATCAAGGTATATTTACATTAAATTTCTTTTGAAAAGGCAAATAAAAAAAATTTTCAGTGTTTCTTTAAAGGAAATTTTCATAATAAAATGCCAGTTGCTAAGAATAAAAAATTCTTCAGTTGTACTTTATAGAATAACATGGCAAATCTTCGGATGGAAGAGGCAGAACTAGATGTGGGGAGATGAGAAGGGTGGGAAAGAAGGTGGAAAAAAGTGGAGGGCAAAGACTTTAGATAAAAAGAATGTTATTAACACAGAAAACAGCAGGCACAAAACATGACAGACATAGTTCAAAGAGGCCTCAAGCCCCTCATTTTATGGCAAAGGAACTGAGGCAGAGGACCTGCTGGGCTCACACCATGTGGGGAATCAGACATTCTATCAGTCGATCCCAAGCCTACTGTGCTTCCACTTTTGAAAGTCATATTGATTGGATAAAAAATGCTGCTGTAGAAAGTGAAAAAATGTTGTATGTTGCTTCACAGAGGCAAAAAGATCTACTCTCCTAAAATAAGGTCTGTCATCTTTGTGGCCTATATGCAGGCTGACACCAAAGATTTCATAATTATAGACATAAAATACTTCTTGGTAGTTGCAGGCCATATTAAATTATTCAAACTTTGGTAATGTCAAATTGATGATGAATTTTTTAATTGAAAAAAATCATTGCATTTTTAAAATGGTAGTTGCAACTTCCCTATTTATGGACTAAAATAAAACACCACTCACAAGTACTCTCCATTCTTTGAAAATTTAATAATTGCTACCAAACTGTTATTTCTGGAAACCAGAGCTATTTATTTCCTTATAAGGGTACCAATGCTTCTTATCCAATACGACTCAGGTAAACTGTTTAAAAATAAAGTAAAAAATAGAGCCTTCCGAAGCCATTATTTGACTCATGGAATACTAACGCACTTACGAATAGTCATCAACCAGGAATCAAATCACCATATTTATGTGTCCTAGTGAACACCCTTTATACAAACTCATACCTGAAACCCAGCGTTGGGGTGGAAGCCCTATTTCCCTAGCACAAATTTCATCTTGGAGAAGCAAAGAAAAATAGAGCACTTCCTTTCCACTCACCCTCTCAAGAAAGTATCACTTACAATGTTATTCATAAGATGAAAAAATAGTTCTTTTCTGCCTATAGATTGATAACTAAAACATTTAAAAGCAAAAATGGATCACTGGAATCCAGAAAAGAGCATATTTTAAGAGTGTTTTTAAAGTATTTTACTTTTTATTGAAAGCACAATATTATGACTATCTGGATGTCATGCCTGCCTCATATTGAGGAAGAACCCTGATGTTCTTCTCTTTTAAATCTTCCTTTATATTTTTACTACCACAAGCTTTACATTGCAAGGTCATAGCTGTTTGTGATACATCTATAATTTAAACAGCTTGTTAGAAACCAATACGCTAAGGAACGTAACATTGAAACTAGAGAAGAGAATGTGTAAAAGGGTGCTTTAGGTAGGTTGAAGATGGTAATGGTAGCGTGTACCCCACTTAGAATAACAAAACATCATAACAGCGTGTTTCCAGAACATGATGAAAGCAGACTGAAAAGTATCATTGACCCTGGATGGCTTTCCTCTATGAGGACCTGTCTGACTTAAGATAAAGAAGGGAAGACATGGTGAGTTCAAGAAGAACCAAGAAATGTATGTCTGCCACTTACGCACACAAAGTAAAAGAAAAAAGTCATTATATTGTCAGATTTAAATGTAAGATCTATGATGCTTTTCAACTGAAAAACTGAAGAAAAATGAATAAAGATAACTTGATACTTTCTCTGTGTGACTTACAGACTTAGGGGATAGAGACTAGAGTACACCCCTCGCCTTTCTAGAATTGTTTATTTATTCATTTTGGGAACTTTACAGAAAACTTATTCTGCATACAGATGCCATTTACCTAGGGGAGTAGCAAAATCACAAATCTCACACTACAGCTGTGAACTTAAACATGTCTTCATGTTTATCCAAATTCCAAGATACCAGGTCTAAATTTCTTCAAATCCAATCTGTAATTTAGAAGAGGGATACTGCCAAGATTTCTGGCAAGAGCTTCATGTGTTGCTCATGAAAATCTACTGCCTCACCTGTAGTGACATCATGTCGGGTCTGTACTGCTTGCGGAAGCCGAGGTCGTACATGAGGAATTTCAGCATTTCAAAGGCTTGCTCTTCACTCATATGCAGAAGCAGGACTCCAGCCACAAAACTGATCCCCTGACAGTAACCCACTTCTTTGTCCAGTAATGAATAGGCCTTTAAGAGGTTAAAGAGTGACAGCTGCCCTGCCCCAAGCTGTGCTGAAAAGTAAGGGTGAGTAGGAAACGTCCTTCCTGTAGAGGAAAAGAAAATAAATATTTTGGAGATGTCCAAATGCTTTGAAGACCAAAGTGAAATTGCATTCCCTTGTTTTCCAAGAACACACACTCTTCAAACCAGTAAGAGCTGCTTGGAATACATATCTAAGAGTCTCTCTCTAGCCAAGCTCCAAATTCTACCTGCCA